GTCAGGAGTCACCAAAGTATCATCCATTAAGTTTTCAAGTTAGAGTGAGCCCCCAGCCTTCTTCCGCCGAGAAGTGTAAACATGCCATTCTTCATCGGAAAACTGGTTCATGTGATCCTCGATCTGATTTGATGTTAGCACCGCAGTAAGAGGAAAGACAGTCGTTGCCACCACGATAGGTTTCAATGTATGTGAAGTGTGTATTGTTACCTCTGCACCTGATACTACCTGAATAGGAGCTGTGGGACTATCCTGATTTTCAGTTCGAACATTATCCGTTGTAGTATGATCAGGAGAAGGAATCCCAAGGGCAGACACCAACTTCTGTCTTGTGGTAATTCTTTTCTCAGGTTTGCTATCATCAGGTTTGCTGGGAGCGCATTCAGGCACATGGGGTGCACTAATAATGTTTTCCTGCTTTTGATTATTGGTTCTCAACTGTGGGTGCAATCTGAAACATTTCTCCTGCTGGTGTCCAAACATCTTGCAGTGCTTGCGGTAAATTAAATTGAAGATATTAATCCATTGTGGATTTAAGTGGTTCATAGGCTGTTCCTGTTTGCTCATATGCTGTTTCCAATGACTGACTACATTCTATTTGTAATTTCATTCCCTTCAATTGTCATTCCCCTGGCGTAGTAATATCCATCTTATTTAGGGTATAGAAGGGTCTATGGAGCCTTTTGTATACAAATAGGTACCTTTAGGGTTTCCAGAGGTTTTTATATGTTATGCATGCAAGCATAATTGTGTTTTATTAGACTAACAATATATATATATGTATGTATGTATATATATATATATATATATATATATTCATGTGAAGCCATTTTTTTTAATGTCAGTCAATTGTTCAAAGGCTCCAATAGAATCAATGAATGTAATTTTGGTTTCTAGCTTCTTTATGGCCTTGGGTGAAATCAACTTCCTGCAAACCTAAGTGATGCAATTGGAATATCACTGCACATAATTCTTTGTTTAGCTTTATTTGTTTTTTTTTCCCTTCTTTGGATTTCCTACTTGCTTAAAAACTGGAGCAAAGTCAAACAACATGAATATGTAAGCATAAATTGTGCTTACAGAGTTATAGACTTGATATTCAATTTAATATAGGTAATATATATATCATGAATTTAAAAGCTTTTCAACCAACTATTGATTATTATAACTAATATTTTTGTGTTAGACATGTAAATGTATAGAAATTGGGTTGTATGTATGTAAATGTTCCTTTATTTATTTATCCGCTATCAGTATAGTGATGGTTCTGGTGGCTGTGATGAGTTAAAATAAAGGGGATTCATAATCCTCGGAAGCATGCTTGTAACTGTTTCTGTGAAGGATGAATAAAATCGATGTGTCGTTCAAATTGAAGCTTTTTATCGCCTGCCAAGTATGGAGCATCTTGGAGAGGAAGAACGTGGTGCTTCACATTGCTTATGGGTTATGTTGTTTCACACATGCATCCTTATAGTTGCAAACCTGTGGCTTTATTCACCCCTTCTATCCTCTTTTGTATCTTTTTCTATCGTTCTCTTCCTCTCCCCCTATCTCCTTGCGTTGTGGTGTTGCATGTACATGGGAAGAAT